GTGGGAGGTGTCCCTGCTCATGGCAGGGAGGTTGGAACCTGATGATCTTTCAGGTCCCTTCCAACCTTCACCATTCTATGATTTTAATGGATTTGCTCTTAATCTTATTATCAAACAGCTGGTCTTTAAAGGGGGGAAGCTCATGTTTTTGTGCTTGTCTCCCAGCCTTTTGGGAGGGATTTATTAGTTAGAGTTGACTTTGTATTGAAACTGGAAAACACTGTGAAGTTACTGCTCTTATTGCCATTGGTGGGAATTTTTATCACCACTTCCTTTAAAATATTTGTTTGAAGAGCAGAGAAATTAAGATTTAGAAAAGCTCTGCCAAAGGAGAAATAAACCCCATGGGTTTTATATTAGCAAATCATGTCAAATGGAGCTTTTCTTGACCTGCTGAATGGGAAAATAGTAAAATAATCATCACAGAAGACAAAAGTTTCCTCTTGCTTCTCTGAGTGAAGCTCTGGGGCCAGAGGAGATGCTGCCTTCAGCCTCCTGCTGATCTTGGTGGGGTTTTTTTGGGGTGAGTTGGGCACACTGAGTGACACAAGGTTGTGGTGAGGCCAAGCTAAAGAACGTGCTGGGAACATGAGGGGCACAATATTCCCAAGATGGGAAAAAACAGCTTTCCTGCAGCTTCAGGAGAGCTGTTTTGCACAACCCTCTCCCCAAACCCAATCCATTTTTCTTTCTCTTTTCAGCTGGATTTCTGGATAACCCCTTCCAACCCTGCCCTTCCTGTGGATGTGAGAGTTCCTGCTAACAATGTCCAAGAAGTTAAAGCCTTCCTGGAATCCTATGGGATCGAATACTCCATCCTGATTGAAGATCTGCAGGTAGGAAATGCCACTGGCACATGTTTAGCTTTTAAATCCTGTGGAAATAAATAGTGATTCACAATCTGACCTCATTCATTAACTTATGGAGCCTTCTCTACCCTGGTTTCCATGAGGTCCTCCCCTTATTTTTAGAGCCTGTGGATTCATTTTTCCAAGATGATCTGTGTGTCACTGCAGTGCTGGGGAACTGGAAATCACTCTGTAGACACTCTCCAAAACTGTTGAATAAGTGACATCAAGAAACTTACAGGCTTCTTGGGGGCTCTTCTTATAACCCCTGAGGAATTTTTTTGGTGGTCTTTTGGCCTCAGAAATTTGGGAATCACAACACTTCAGTTATAGATAATTCAACAGTTTCAAGAGCAGCTCTGGCTCATAATCCAAAAGAATTCTACACTCTGGGTGAGGGAAAAGTCACCCCCTTGGGCACTAATCTGACATTTCTTCATGTGCAGTGATCCCCAAATGGCACCTTTTATTTTTTCCACTCTCTCCAAGCTTTCCAGAGCTGTTTGTGTTCATCTTAACAAGCATTTAAAACTCAGTCCAGTCCATCTAAACCCTGTTCTTCTTGCCCACCTCACTACAGATCCATTCAGCAGAAGCTTTGCTCTAGGCTGTGGGTCTAGATCCAGTGGCCTGATGTTGTTGTTTGAGATCAACACTTGGTCAGAAGTTTACAAGTTAATCAAGCTTTTCCTCAACATTCCAATGGCTTCTTTTAGGTGGTTTTAGATCAAGAAAAGCAAGATATGGTGGAAAGCCAACAAAGGGAGCGTGGAAGCAGCAGCTTTGACTATGGAACTTACCACACTTTGGATGCTGTGAGTACCTCAGCTTTGGGGGAAGAGGGTTCTTCTTTTCTGCCCTTTTTTAAGTGCTCTCTTCAATCAGGCATCCTGTAATGAGATCTGAAATGTCTCCCCAGCTTCTTCTTCTGCCCCGTGGTTGTGTTTCTAAATGGATTCATTTTGTGGTCAACACAAGGAGCTTTCCCTGGTAGTGTTAGAGCAGACAAATGTGGGACATAGTTGGGACAAGGTGGCCCAGGGAAGCTGTGGCTGCCCCATCCCTGGAAATGTTGAAGGGCAGGTTGGATGGGGCTTGGAGCAGCCTGGGCTGGTGGGAGGTGTCCCTGCCCATTGCAGGGGGTTGGAACTAGCTGTTCTCTAAGGTCTCTTCCAACCCAAACTATTCCATGATTCTCTGATAAACTCTTCTGCAGAGTTCTGTCAAAACCCTTCCTTCTGACCCTCAAAAGAGATAAATAAATAAATACATCTTGAAACATGGAAATAGAGGAAACCAGTAGCCATCAAGCAGAGCAGAGGGTCAGGTATTTTTACTACCAGAAGTTAGAATCATAGAATAGAACATGTGAGGTTGGAAGGGATCTTCAAGGGTCATCTAGTTCAGCCCCCCCTGCAGTGCACAAGGACCTTTTTAACTAGATCAGAGACTCATCAAGGCTGACCTTGAATGTCTCCAGGGATGGAACCACCACCACCAATCTGGGCAACCTGTGCCAGTGCTTCACCCTCATTGTAAAGAACTTTCTTATGTTTAATCTAAATCTACCCACCTGTAGTTTAAGGCCATTGCCCCTTGTCCTGTCTGTACACACCCTTGTAAACAGTCAAGTTCTTTAATGAGGGTTTTGAATTCATTCCTGAAATAAGTAGATCTTGGTGCTTCTTTCTCCATCTGGTGGTGGTGGGAACAGCTCTGACTGCACGGACATAAGGTGAGATGGGGCTTTGGAGAGGTCATGGGAGTGAAGGCAAAAGGAGAGAAACACAAATTTCATCAGGTCCTACAATTGTCCTGGGGTGGTACTGGCCATAAATGTCATCATGACTTTTCATTTCAGATTTATGGAGAGATGGATAATCTTGTGTCTGAGTACAGGAACATTATGAGTAAGTTCCAGATCGGACAATCCTACGAGAAACGGCCTTTGTACGTGCTCAAGGTATGAGCTACCTCACAGAACATGTTCTGCAGGTGCACTAGACACACAGCACAGTTCAGTCCAAAGCATCCTGGGATGTTCTGGACTAAAAGGTGTCAGAGTTTTAAAGCTTTCTGTTGTGTTTGACAGTTCAGCACCGGAGGATACAACCGTCCCGCCATCTGGATCGACGCCGGGATCCACTCCCGAGAGTGGGTCACCCAAGCAAGTGCCATCTGGATAGCTAAAAAGGTGACTTCAGCACTGGTGGCTTTTGTTTTTACCATGGGAAATGCCTCTGACTTAAAATTACCTCAGGGCTCTCTGTGTTTAGCCAGCTCTGCTAATTCTCCTTCACTCCTCTTCAAACAACCGACTCGAGAGAATGTGGCTCCTGCCCAAAGATGAGGAATGTTTCTGAATTTGAGAAGGTGCTTCTTTCCTGGGAGGGTGACAGGGCCCTAGGACAGGCTGCCCAGGGAGGTAGTGGAGTCTCCATCCCTGGAGACATTCCAGACCCACCTGGATGCGTTTCTGTGGGATCTGTTCTAGGGGATCCTGCTCTAGCAGAGGGGTTGGACTTGGATGATCTCCAGAGGTCCCATCCAACCACTTGGTGATGCTGCAAAAATGCTGCCTGTTGTTAGAGTGGCTGGGAGAAGTTCAGGGAGACAAAATGTAGTAGCAGAGATGAAATTGCTGTGGACTGCAGGCTTGATAGGAATCATCTTTCCTGAAGATGAGTTTGCTGCTTTGGTCTGCAGCCACAGAGGACCACTCATTGGTTACCTTCCACAAAAGGGCAGAAGCTTCCAGCTCTCTAGAAATGAGCTTTCCAATTCTGCTGAAAATGACCAAGCCACCGGAGGAGTGCAGCACAGTTGTGTATTCCCAACCTGGCTGATCCCTCTCAATCTTAGTGGCACCCTTGGCTCCTTCTCCAGGCCAGTCAGGAGATAATTTTGTTGCCTTTTCCACTGACTTCCTCTCTTCAGAATAAAATAGTGAAGCAGATTCATGTCTTCTCCAAGCTCCAGGTCTAACAAGGAGCAGTGACAACCAGCAGATGAAGAGTGTTTCTTGGTTCCCTGCCCTGAAAGCCAGACCTTCCTCTGAACCTGCCTGTTAGAGCTTAAGCACAGGGGGGAAAAAAATGTGCTGCTAATCAGAGTGTGCCTTGTTGTCCCTGCTTAGATTGCCTCTGGCTATGGAACTGACCCCTCCATCACCTCTCTGCTGGACAAGATGGACATCTTCCTGCTGCCAGTGACCAACCCTGATGGATATGTCTACACTCACACCCAAGTGAGTAGGCGTGTCGTGTGTCTTGAGCTGATCTGGGGAGCTGTGAGGCTCTGCCAAGGGAAGAAATGTGAGGAAAGCAGGCTCTGAAAGTCCATTTCTTAGGGCTGCAGGAAGCAGGTGCAAACAAGCTGGGCAGCCAAAAATACTAATTACTCGTCTAACCCATTTGGACCTTCTATAAAGTTATCTTGGGGTGCATTGAGAGGAGTGTGTCCAGCAGGTCAAGGGAGGTTCTCCTCCTACTCTACTCAGCTCTGGTGAGACCTCACTTGGAGTTTTGTGTCCAGTTCTGGGCTCCAGTGTCCAGTTCTGGGCTCCCCAGTTCCAGAGGGACAGGGAACTACTGGAGAGGGTCCAAGGGAGGCCACGAGGATGATGAAGGGACTGGAGCATCTGCCTGAGGAGGAAAGGCTGAGAGACCTGGGGCTGTTCAGGCTGGAGAGGAGAAGACTGAGGGGGGATCTAATTAATGTCTATCAATACATGAGGCATCAAGAAGGCAGAGACAAGCTCTTGTCACTTGTGCCCTGGGACAGGATGAGGGGCAATGGGTTCAAACTGGAGCCCAGGAAGTTCCAGCTCAACATGAGGAAGAACTTCTTTGGTGTGAGGGTGACAGAGCCCTGGGACAGGCTGCCCAGAGAGGCTGGGGGGCCTCCTTTTCTT